TCTATCTTAATTATATTTTCCGCTAAAACATTAATCTCCTCCATTACTCGCAACTGTTAAGAATTAACTCGCAATACTTCTACACGTTCCAAACTTCACTTCTTTCAAAATGAGTTGTGACTTGGTAGAGGCAGTATTCCCACGTTTCTCCACCAGGGCGTCATTCATATGTTATAAACATAGTTTCCTCAAAGAATAACATGTCTGCATGAATAAAGATTTAGATTTACATTTATTTTGTCCAAAAACAGTACGAACTGTATGTGACGTATGGGGGAGAATATCATTGCGCACGTTTTCTTGAGTTCCAGAATCCCTTTTCGTCATTTTAACAATAAATAGTTGAAAGATGAGAAAAAGTTTAAAGTAAATAAAAATAAATTTTAAATAAGCACGAGATTAGCAATATTTGAAAAAAATAGGCATTTTCGTTCCCAAGTTATAGAAAACTTATTTGCGTCAGTTAACGAATTGCAAGTATGTTTTTTCTGCATTGCAAACAAAATAGTAACTCACCCTTACCTCTACACATTACAAGCAAAAGGAGAGTTCAACAAAACGTGCGCCTAAGGAAGCTACATTTACGTGCAGAAGCAAAACAAGGGGCTATCTCAGCATTTGCTCAATGGATATGGAATTATTGTAAGGGACAATGGTGGTATTAATGGAAGGAATTTTAACTGATTTCCGTATCACACGAATTTCACTGTTTTCATTCAATGTTGAAGTAAATAGTACATAAATTATGCACAGATAGTTTGTACGGGAGCGCTCTAGTCACCCGATAATGCCTGAAATTCAGCAGAAAATTCTATACCTAAATACACAAAACAATTTCAAATTGGGAATAAACACATTCAAATCGAGACCAATCACACCCAAATTGAGACTCAACAGATTGAAACAGAAAGGAAATAAAAACCAGGCTGCAACCATTTAAACACGAAAATGTATTAAATACAAAATTAAGTAACAATAAATACAACGTATATTTGTAATAAAAACAATGTTTCTGTTAACTGTATGACTACACAATGTTACATATACACTCTTTTTCTAAAAAATTTGAAACTAATTTTCAACACAATTTTATACCATCACACAATAAATGCAACATGTATATTATAGGGATATTATCTGTCTGATAATATCCTGTAGTAGTAGCTTATATTCTTATCGTTTTCTTTGATTTACATTGCTGTTCATTTTGTCAGGTTCTCTATGAATGTTTTTTGTCGTAAACATTATACTATCCAAATGTTGACTCAAACATTCGGGAGACACAATAACTTGATGCTGATCTTTAAATTTACGTTTCAGTTCTTTTAATGTAAATCTGGGATTTTCCTCTGATCTCAACCAACCCTGTGTTCCTCTGTAATATTCACTCGTCTTCGTCCACCACGTTTTTCGTCTTCACAATATGCAATTCATCTCTTCACTCAAAAGTGTATTAGCGAGCCCTCTCCAGTCTTGATTATTATTATTATATACTGCACAAATGTGTATTTTGTTCCTCTTAGCTTCCGTTTTCTTTATGTAAATCATTATAACGCTACTACCTTAACCATACACGGAGAAATGTAGGTTAATTTTGTTAACACCAAATGAAACTAGCTGATTCAACTTTGTTTCTTTCTCGATTTGAAATTGTTACGTATCAGATTGCTTGTGTTTAATCCGTGTTTCTGCTCACTTTGAGTGTGTTAGTACCCAATTTGAAATTGTTTGGTCTCATTCTGAAGTTAGAGGACTGAACAAGATCCCCAAAAGAATATAACCCGGTTCTTGATCGAATTCAACAATGGATTACACTCTGTGAGAAACATACAAGTAGCTTTTCATAATACTAGGGCAACTTTTCTTGAACGATGGATTGACGATTTCGGGTGGAGTGGGGGTAATAGTTACAAAGTCGGCCACTAGAGTATTTTAAGTAATGCAAACATGTGTGAAATAAAAGTCAAAACTGCATCTTGTGCTTAACTTTTTCGGGAGTTTTAGGTGACTCGCTTGAAGGACCTGGACCTGACTCAGCCATTTCTTTCGATATTGACAATAAACCTGAACAGGGGTTCTGCACTATGAAAGCAACTGGCTTTGACTAGCTTCTGTTTCGCACCAACGACGTTTTAATGCTTGGAAGGTTGTCATCAGTGCACGCTGTGAGCTTTTGCCTTCAACTTTTTTTTTTGCACAAGGGAGGGGGATTAAGGTCATCGTTCAAGAAAAGTTGCACGAGTAATATCATTTTGATGTACTCATTGATCCCGTCTCAGAGGAATTGATAAATACAATAACAACTTACAACTAGCATACGTATTTTATTTTCAGTGTTGTAATGACCCATTACTATATCTGGTAAAGGAACCAAATGTATTTTTGTAACCAAATGTAAAATGTATTTTTTCATGTTCGACGATAGTCTTTCAAGGGTTTTAATTTTAAATGACAAGACAATGATTTTTGTTGAATAGATCATAAAGTATGACTGATTAATATTGTTCATTAAATTAAATTTATTTTAAATTGGAAAGACGGAAGAAAATAATTTGCTGAGGAGCGGAAGGTGTTTGAATTTGTCTTCAACAAATCATCATTTTATACGTGGATAAAATCTCCAATGTTAATTAAGATAGTACTGAGGGAAGAACGCATGTTGTAAAAAATCAGATTAATAATTTGACTATAGTTTCTTCTAATATTGGAATTTTTAATTCGTTATGAATTTGTTCATTGGCGATGATCTGGGAGCATTTAGAGTTGTTCTTGGAAATATCTTTCTCTGTTTTTGTTGCTGCACAGCCTGTGTTCCAGAAGGCCTTGCCTTGTTTGTAGAAGGGATTTTTGCAATCAAGGGTGCTCAAAATATTTCTGCAAACTTAATGGGCACTTTAAAGTTTTGGAGTACGTACGTAAACAAGACATTCAAAAGAAATAAAAATGGATTAAAAACCGTCGATAATGATCGAGGAATACTTACGTGCGTCAGGACACATCCAGTAATATCGTGATGCAAGAATGTGATGCAGCGTTTCCAAATTAGGGTTATCAGGCGTTCTTTGAGTACAAGTTCTCATTTTGAAGGTATCATCTTTACTATTCTCGCTCTTTTATTTTCTCGCCCTTCTGTGAGGGCAAATCAAAAAGTAAGTTACACTTCGAAGTCATGGCTAATTCTAAAACCACTTACTCATAGACAACATGGCTATGGCAACACACAATGTATACTACGAGTAATTCTTGTCTACTTGACAGCTTCCAACCGACAGGGGAGAGGGGGTTCCATTATCCAATCAGAGGCTTAAAATTGTGATGTCTGCCGATGCTTGTTAAGAAAGAAATGAAATTTCATAGCACGAAGCAACTGTAAGTTTAAGAGCGTCATTACTTCTTTCGCTATGCATCGTGTGTGAGGTTCTGTATCGTGAAGTGGTGTGTTCTTATTTTGGTTTGTTTCTCGCTACCGTAGTGATCTGATGTAAGAACGACAATACGACAACGTGCCTGCCGCCCGAATAAGTGACAACATCGCTCTATACCCACCCCAACTGTCAAGTAGACAGATATTATTCGAACAATAAGTTCCACATAGTCTCCAAGAGACTACAAACTTTTCTCGCAACAGTCAACCAGTTTATCGATTCCGGATGCGAAGAAATCACATAGAGCGTTATGAAACCACTTGGAGACAGCTGCTTTCACCTCATCGCTTTGGAAACGTTTCTTTTACAGCTTGCCGGTCACATGATACTCGCATGGTGCTAATTCTGGACTTATGGAGGATGTTTCCATATTACTCGCGCAACTTTTCTTGAACGATGGATTGAAGAAATGCGGGTAGAGTGGGAGAATTAGTTACGGAATCGGCCACTAGATTTTATGAAGCAATGCACATCTCTGAAGAATTACTCATGCCTTCGCACCTTTCTCAATAATTTGCGTTCTAACTTTCTCAGGAGTTTGAGGTATCTCCTGTGGTGGATCTTCACCTGCTTCCATCATTTATTCAGATTTTTTGGAGAAAATAACGGATAGATGTTCTCGTTTTCAAAAGAAAATTGTTTCAATTTTGCGCCACTGAAGATGTGTTTGTAATGTTGTCATCAGTGCTCGCTGCGAGCTTTCACCTTCATCTGTTTATTGGACCAGATAGGGGGAATCAAGGACATCCTTCAATAAAAGTTGCGCGAGTAATACTTCCCACTTGAATCGCTGAAACAGTTCGGTTGTTTGGCGGGCCGAGTGGAGTGTTGCATTATCGTGCCACAAAATCACACCGGCGATCAATTTTCCCGCAGCTTTTCTTTAATTGCCTTACGCAATCTGTTGATCGTTTGACATCACGAACCCTTCTCCAGTTTGAAGTGAACATCGAGTTGATGCGCCCGGCCCTCTCTGCACTCACAACACGACGGGATATCAATCATGCAACTTTCCTTGAACGATAACCTTGCTTCCCCATCTCCGGCACAATAAACAGTAGAACGCAAAAGCTCGCTGCGAGCGCTGATGACAACATTCCAAACACATCTTCAACGGCGCGAAATAGAAACTATTTTCTGTTGAAGTGAACTTCTGTCCGTGATTTTTTTCCAGAAATGTAATGAAATGACCGAAGCTGGTGAAGATCCGTCACAGGAAATATCTCAAACTCCTTAGAAAGTTCGAATGCAAATTATTGAGAAAGTTTCCAAGGAATGACAGATTCTCCAGAGATTCTCTTTATACAAATCTAGTGGCCGATTTCGTTACTAATACCCCCACTCTTCCCGCATTTCTATCCTAGGTTTTTTAATACGAATGCGCGTTTAATAAGCAGTATAAAATATAATATAAAGCAGTTAAGAGGAAATCGAAACAAACTACGCAAGTTCTATCCCAACGCCTCACCGTACTGTTCTTTTAGGTATTTTAGGCACTTATCAGTAGTATATAAATTCTTTTGCGGTTGCGAAGTACGTTGCTAAAAATTCCCTGGTTGCAGGTTAAGAGAAAACCAGTGAGCAACAACAAGTTGGTATAATAATGGTGGAGTTAAATATTTTAGCGGAAAATCTTATTAAAATTGAAGAGGTAAGCCATGTCGTTTATTTTTAAATACGTATTAGCATCGTCACTGTCAATCGCAGATAAAATCACAACTAATTCTAATCAGTAGGTATGTATTGTGTGAAATTTAAAATAACGAGTGTTCATGGTACAAAACAAGTTCTAAAACGGAAAGGAAGATGCTAGTTTTGGTTAAATAAAATGTAACAGTTGGAATTCCGAAATGTTCAGGTAGATGTTACTCCTGAATTATTGTTTTACTGTTATTTCCAGGTGAAAGATGAACCAGTTGAAATAAACGAAGAGTATTCCTGGAGTTTGAATGTGAGTATTTATTTACTTAAGTAGTCTACACTGATACCATTAAATCAATAGAAGAGGTTAAAAAACTTAAAATATTTACTTAGAGTACATTAAAATATGTTAAGCTTCGAGGTAAAATATGTAAAACTGTAAAACAACATTTTCTTAAAACATATCACATTTTTTCTTTAAACTTTTGGTGGGGATAATGCTAAATGCACCCTATCAAATGTCATAAATGACATATTGCTATATTCTTATGTTTAAAACAATCACAAATGTATTTTTTTGCCTTTTCTCTCACGTCGTTAATATTAGCTGCGATTTCTTTACATTAATGTATTTATTAGTACATGTGCTTTAAAAATTGTAAAATAAAGATTCCCGCCAACTCAAGTTTTCCAGGGAAATGAGCTCAAAATTCTGCATTTTCAGAAACGCTAAAACACCATTTCCTCAAAAACGGATACAAATGTTTTCTTCGAAGTTTTCCAACAGATAGAGGTAGTTGCGTTGTTTAAGACTACACTGAGTTAATTTTGCTGCATTCATTTCATTTTTCTAAAATTACACAAATGTAATTTTTTGAAAGCTTTTGATAAGCACATTTCTAGCAATTTGTAAACATAATTGCATTTGTGACTGGAACTTTTCGAAAACTCAATAGTTTTGTGTCAACAGAGGTTTAAATTTCGAATTTACAGTAGAGCTAAAATACCATTTTTTTAATAGCGGCTCCAAATTTCTCAATGAAAATTGCCATTTGGATTGAGGTTTTATTGTTCTTGAATATTTTTAAAATAATAATTCGATACTATTATTAAGAAAAAAATTGAACATGCACTTTGGGCGGCAATAGACGGCAACTGGCAAGACCGAATTGCTAGCAGAGACCAAGGAAGTAGAAAACTAATACGGTAAAGACGGTGCCATTCTGTAGCAACACTAGTCTAAGTAGTGAAATGTATTTATTTGCACATATTGTATTACGGGAAGGCTTGATTTACTTGCTCGAAGGCGATAACCGGGGAACGGTAAACGCCTCAGGATTTGGCAACAGGGCATTGATCCCCGGATGCCAGTGGTTGCTGGTTGGCTCTTTAACACCAGGTTTGCCAAATCGCACCATAATGATGGAATCGTACCATAATTTTCACCCAAAAATGAATGTAGCATGTCGAATCATAACTTTTAAATAAATAATAAGAATAAGTTAAATACTACTTATTTTATGTAAAGAGAAAAAAATTAGACATTGATTCTGGAACTTGAAATATTAATTAATATTACAAACTTTAAATAACACAACAAAGCAAACGCTCCCTACAATGTCGAACCTAAAGGTGAGTCCACATGGTGCGAAATATTAAAGCAATTGTTAGAACACGCCGCAACTGATTATGCTTTGAACACAATACAGGGATTAGGGATATTTTTTTAATTAATATATTTGTGGTGTATTCGAAAACTAAAACCAAGATCCCAGCCGTTTGTTATGTTGACAGAGTTGCCACTTGGTCTTGCCAGGTCATTTTCTAGTAGATTGCGCTGCGAGAACCACCAAAACGTTAAAAAAAGATTATTTAATGTTTAAAATAGATGTAAATTGGAAATTAAATGATAATATTTATATTTACAGTTAACAACTATATTTGTAATTCAGTATAAAATATGTATAACAACTCTATGTACATATATGCGTACACGCATTGCATACGTTTTGTTTTAAGGAGTTTAATACTCTGAACATACGAGATACGAAACGTAAGAGGTAGCTTTGTCTCACTCATTTTAATGTCTAAAAAAAGACAATATTTCTTTGTATAAAAAACTTTTCTTCGAACGAAATCGTTGTTACCATTATTTGTTTATTGCTATGATTTAGTGTGTAACTGGTTGTGACAAATAACCGCCCAATTTAACGAGGGAATTCATTCAAATGAACTTACCTGTATTTAAGTGTTTTACAACGCTTAGTTATATTACAATTATTATACCTGCAATAATCAAAGGGGACTATTTTTACTTTTAAGGAACTTCTTATGAACAAAATTATGTAATGCTAGGGCGAAAAAACGGTGAGTTTGCTGTAGAAAAACTTAATACAGGGACTGGTAAAGAAAAAGTTTATAAATGTAGTTGTAAAATTTAGAAAAAGATCCTCTAACACATGGTGTAGCCAGAATCGCTGGTATGTGGGTCCTTGATACCGAAGAGTCGATTGACGGCTGGACTGTTCAGCCGATTTTCTCCAAATTTAATATTCAACAATCAATCTGCATGATGGCGCGATCCCTTTAATTTGAAACCGATATTTTAATTGTGGGGGATACTTTACATGAAGCCTCTGCGACATTTTCCAAATTTTCAAAAAAAATGGCTCGAAGGTTTTTGATTAAATTTCTTTGTTAGATAGTGTGAAGGGGTTTTAACAGAATGATGCAGTTTGTTAAAAACCCTGACAATTCCAAAAGTTCAATTTTTTTTGGCGTCTTCCTAGAACAATTATGAAGGTATAGATTTTTTCTTAAGGGCAGATAGTACATTTCAGCTAGGGTTTAGCTTAATTTTTTCCCGTAATATAAAGCTTTATATATCTTAATTGAAGAAATAATACAAACGTTTTTTGTAGGCCTTTTCTTAGGGCAAATGTTTAATAGCCAAAGTTTTTTCGTCGTTTTTCATAATTATTTTATTTATAAACGCGGAGAGCGAAGTGAATGCGTATTACTTCATTGTAGTGCATTTTTCTCAGAATCTATTATTGTTACAAAGTTTGTGTTTTAATGTAATTAGGTATACAATTTGTGACAAACTAAACTATTTTTCTACACACGTTAAGCACAATTAATTAATAAAAATTGTGAAAACAATTAAATTTTTTGACGAAATTGTTTTAGATTATATTTGATAATTGGTTTTGATTATGTACATGAGTATTTATAAATGTATGTTAAATTACACAACGAGCAAAACATAATAAAGTAAGATTCTCATCGCACATGAATGAAGTTATTTACAAAATAAAAACATGAATTATGGGGATAGAAAATTAGCATAAGATTTGGATCAAACAGACCAGAGATGTGGGTCACTATTGTTCAGTGATAAAGCCTCTAGAGCCGCAACTATCTGAAATATGAATTTTTTTTATGAATCGCGAACCTATATTCGTGGACTGCAAACATCACAACTGCAGTGTTTATTGTATCTTTATTATCACTGTAACCGTATATGAACTTCACAGTAGGGTTTGATTCAAAATTTCAGAGAATGATGTGCTTGAAATGAATACATTCAGCGAGAACAGAAATATAAAAAGAAATACGTTAGTAGAGCTCGTCAACCGAAGGACAAAAACTTATACTGCGCAAAAGAATTATAAATACATATCTAAAACTTTATTTTGTTTGTTTTTTAATTGTTGGACGTGACATTTTTTTGAACTGTACAGGAGTTGGACACTCAAGTTGCTGAGATTGTTGATTCATTTGCGAAGGAAGGGAAATCATGGGCTGAGGAAGAGAAGGTAAGAATAGCAGACTGCCATCATATAAAATGAGATGATTTGCACGCATAAACACGGGCGGAAAAAACGTATTGCAACACTCCGATTGCATTGTCCAATTTATTCTTCCGTACAGATACAGCACATACAGACGGAATACTACACGTGATTACATGGGCAGAGCCATGTTAGACTCGCGCGGCCGGCAACAGAGAGAACCATGAACCGGAAACACCACATCAATACTGCGTATATTACTCGCCCATCTTTTCTTGAACGATGACCTTGCTTCCCCCTCTCTGACACAATAAACAGATGAAGGCAAAAGTTCGTAGCGGACTCTGATGACAACATTCCAAACACATTTTCACTGACGCGAAGTAGAAACAATTTTCTTTTGAAGACGAGAACTTCTATAGGTTATTTTCTCCAAAACTCTAAAGAAATGACCGAAGCAGGTTCGAATCTATCATAGGAGATACGTCGAACTCCTCATCAAGTTAGAACAGAAATTATTGATAACGTTACGAAGACGTGACTTATTCTCCAGAGATTGGCATTGCTTCATAAAATCTAGTGGCCGATTTCGTAACTAACACCCCCACTCCTCCCGCATTTCTTCAATCCATCGTTCAAGAAAAGTTGCGCGAGTAATACCATCCGCGGCTAGTACAAGTCCTGGTGAGGGCCAACATCTCATCGTACAGGTGGCGAATAGTTCCCTGCGGTACACTGTTCCACGCATCTTGTACCGCTGCACGTAGGGCAGACAGAGTTGTTGGGGGAGTCGCAACACGGCTCAGGCGTTGGCCCATCATGTCCCACACGTGTTCGATCGAGGGCAAAGCAGGCCAGGGCAGTTGACGAACATCGGGGAGACCGTGTTACGTAACGCGGGCATTGTCCTGCTGGAATAGCGCACCGCCCTCCCGTTGCAAGCAAGGTATCTGCACAGGGCGCACAACGTGCTGGGTGTATCTAACGCTGGTCGATGATCCCTCCACGGACACCAAAGGCGAACGCGTGTTGTAGCTGATGGCATCCCTCACCATCACTCGACGTGACGTGGACGAACACACTCTTCAAGCACGCGCTTATCTGTGCGACGCCGCACACGTACACGACAATAACTGGCGTGCAGGCAGAAGCGTCTCTCAACACTAAACACCACTGCACACCATTCCGTCTTCTGGCGTACCCGCACATTGCACCACGCCAGACGTGCCCGCCGACGGATCGGTGTTAGTAGCAGTCGGGCTTGCGGTGATTGTAATCCTGAAGCAAGTAATCGGTTCAAATAAGGCGTGGAGACACGTTGCGGATCACATGTGCCTGTAGCTCGGCGCGGGTGGCTGTCCGATTTGCCAACGCCGCCCTCACGATGTGTCGAGCTCGCCTGCCCATTGCTGCCAGCACCAACGGTCAGCCATAAGCTGAAAGGACAACACTTCGGCGCGCAGGGCTACAATCCGACCCCGCTCAAACTGGCCCAGTTGCTTAAAGGACGAACGAGTGCGACGCCGTGGCATACCTAAGTCCCGACTGGGCCTTATCGCAGTGGACAGCGCCTTATAAAGCCGCGGAATAGATGGCGCGTTGGGGCCATTTTGTGACGGTGCCATTACGTCACCGGGTGTTAATCACGGCTTCTACGACCCCTCCTCCTTGACGTCCCTTATCACTTACTTGATTGCTTGTGCCCTTCCTGGTGTTGCAATAATGTTTTCAGCCAATGTATTTCATAGTAAGACAAACAAGGAATAGTTCACGGAATGAATATTCAGTGGTATGTTAAAACGTCGTGAGGTTTTTGTAAATATAAAGAAGTATTAAAATGTTTAATTTAATTCAATATGTGGTGTGTAGTCGATTTCACAATTCTATATAGACTATTGCAATCTATAGCTTATCATGTTTTAAAAATGCAAATTAGGTTCCAAAAGTTTCTCCTTTAGGTTCCGTGTAACAATATCAGTTTTTTATAAATGTCTTTTGTTGTAGAATCCTCCTGCAGAATGCACTGAAACTTCTGATGTTGCTTCGTTAGAACAGGAGAAAGGTATACGTTCCCAAGGTGAGTGCAAATAACTTATTTTCTTATTTACTACCTAAGCCTTCGGAACGTTTTTAAATGTTCTCCATTTTTTCTTTGACTCCAAATATTTTCTATAAAGCTGTCTTAGGAAAGAGTGTAATATACTTAAGTGGCACAGGATTACGAATTCAGTTGCTTCAATGAAAATCGAATCTATTCCATTGTTAAGGCGTCGATATAACCGTACGAGTTAAGCAGATAAATGAAAACTGGTTAATGTTGGCTGGTGCATTTCACACAGCATGCAGTGATTCTGGGTCTGAAATGGAACAATTATGCTGTCAGTACCCGCCGGCGTTAAAGAATGTTTGCCAATACTAAATATTTCAAATACGATATTAAGTGTCACCTATCGTGGGGCCATCACTTCATTTTTGGGCCAACCTCATCGTGGCTCCCGTCACCAGACTTCCGTGTGTGTGTGTGTATTTGTTTATGGAGCTTAAATTACGTGGCCGGCAAAGATTGCCAACAATGCAGGGATAATATAATGGTAACCAACAACTGACTATGCGAAGATATTCTGGGCTTCGTATACGTGTAACAGTACGCGGCCAGTGAATACTCTGCTTGTTTTATCAAAACAAGCAAAAGGCGAATTCTTGTGAATTTTTATTTCTTGGAAACTTTTAGAACGCTTTCTCTGACAGTGCTGCGCTCTAGTAGCAATACTGCAAAGTACTGTATTTTGAATGTAAATATTACTGTGGTTAATTTTTTTTACCCTCTACAATGGCTTTCGCGGTTTTTTAGAGATTCATCTTAAAAGCGCGATATTTGAAACTGCACGATTTAAGCTTGAATTTGCACTAAGGAGGGCTTATGATTGTTTATTAGAGGTTAGGCAACACATATAAAACAAATGGTGATACAACAGCACGTACTTTCTCGCTCTATTGTTAATGGCTATGTAATACAATATGACAATTTCTATCTTACACTTCAACTACCATTTGAAAAATTCTTTTAAAAAACGAAGCAACGAACTACACTAACACCTGAATGTATTAATTAAATAACACTTGCTTTATAGCGCGAACACCAATTATTTCGGTAGTTTGAAATTCGTATTAAGGAGAATTTACAGAATTTATTAATTTTCCTGTAATAGCTGTACATTTTCTAGAAAAGTATCCAAATCTTCTATCTTGAACATAGTCTCTGCGCCTCAAGTATATCACAATATTATATGCTAGTTTGTGACTATTTGTATTCCCTTTATAATGTCCTCTTGATCTAAACATGTTCTTTGTTAACAGATGGTGAAATGAATAATTTTGAATGCTCCGCTTGCAAGAAGGTCTTCACTCAAAAGCGAACCTTATTTAAGCACATGCGCATGCATTCGAGTCAAAACCAGTTTGAATGCGCTATGTGTAAAACGAGATTCACTGACACGAGTAGCTTAGATAGGCACATGGGCATTCACAGTGGAGAGAAACCTTACGTATGTTCCATCTGTCAGAAGCATTTTGCTCGAAAGAGATATCTAGTAAAACATTTGCGTACGCATGCCGGTGAGAAACCATTTGAATGTACAATCTGCCCGAAGAGATTCACTGAAAAAGGAAACTTGATTAGGCATATGAACATTCATGTGGGTGAGAAACGTTTTCAATGTTCCATTTGTGAGAAGAAATTTGGTGCTAAGTGGGATTTACTGAGACACGAACGCACCCACACCAGCGAGAAACCTTTCCAATGTACCACCTGCAAAAAGAGTTATACTCAGAAAGTACACTTGAATAAACACTTGCGCAACCACTCTGGTACCAGTCCCACCTGTGAGAAGAGCTTCCCAGAAAATAAAATGTTGGTCAAGTTTTCCAGCACAGGGAAAACGTTTGAGTGCGCCATTTGCCAGAAGAGTTTCACTTTAAAGAGTAACTTAAAAAGGCACCTGCTCAGACATGATGGTGAAAAACGTTTCCAATGTACCGTCTGCGAAAAAAAATTTTCAACAAAATCGTACTTGGACAAACACATGGGCTCCCACACCGGAGAGAATCTGTTTCTCTGCACCATCTGCCAAAAGAAATTCACTCTGAAGGTCAATTGGAACAGTCACATGCGAATCCACACTGGCGAGAAATCATTCGTATGCTCCATGTGCGAAAAGAATTTCACACGAAACGGATCTTTAATAGAACACATGCGCATACATTTCGGCGACAAACGTTTTGAGTGTACCATCTGCGCAAAGAGATTCACTGAAAAGGGGAACTTAATTAGGCACATGTATATTCACACCGGCGAGAAACGGTTTCAGTGTTCCGTCTGCAAGAAGCATTTCAGTCAAAAAGTGCACATGCTTAAACACATGAAACTTCACACTCGCGAGAAAGCTTTCGAATGTTCCGTATGTCAGAGACGTTTCACTCAAAAAGTACACATGCTTAAACATGTATGCATCCACACTGGCGAGAAACCTTTCAAATGTTCCGTGTGTCATAAAAGTTTCGCTCGAAACGGAACTTTGGTAAAACACACGCGCACACATGCTGGTGACAAATCTTTTGAATGTACAATCTGCTTGAAGAACTTCACCGAAAAAGGAAGCTTAGTTAGGCACATGTGCATCCATACGGGTGAGAAACGTTTTCAATGTTCCATCTGCAGGATTGGTTTCATTCAAAAGACACATTTGCTTCGACATATGCGCATACACATTCATGAGAACCCATGGGAGTGTTCCACCTACTTGACTGGCTTCACTCGACATGGCAGCTTGGATAACCATATGAGTATGTGCGTAAACATAGGGAAGAAATATTTTCCATATTCAGTCTGTGAAGAGGACTTCATTGAAATTGTTTTTCCAGTAACAACTGTCAGTGCTCAATACAATTATTTGTAAATTATGCAGAGCCTATTTCGCTTGAGATAAATAGAGAAATAGTCGTAAACTGTTTATTTTTAAATGTTAACCCCTTTGTTGTACATATACATAGACATTCATTGCAACAGCTCAAAGGAAGCGAACTCACATCCCACACTAAAAATAGGGAAATGGAAGAGGTTATTCTAAGATATTAAGTGCAACTTATTTCGTTAAAAAAAGTATTTCTTCTGACATAATAAATTTACTGTTGTGGCACAAATGTATAAAATTTGTACTTTCTTCTCTTAATTTACGTTGTTAAATTTGTGTTAAATAATATATCTTTTTTATGTTTATTTACATTGTTAAATTTGTGTATAAATAATATTTCTTGGATATGTCCATTTCTTGAAGCAACTCCCTAAGCATGGCAATTTTGTCTTTTAAAGAAAGTTTAGTTTTAAACGAATCGTTAAAAGTATTCGATGTACAATATCAATATGCTTAATAAAAGTGAGTAAATGATTTACCACGCAATCTATTATTTATTTACTACATTAATCTCCCCACGTTAATGTCAGTCATTTTTATAAAGGTTTTGTTTTGTAAAACATACGGAATTTTATTAAATTCTCTCAAATATTGCAACTTATCTTCTACTTATTTAATAAATAATAATACAATATGTTGATTTATAGTTTAATATCACCGTACATTGTGTTTAGTTTAATGTAAGACTGTTCTTTAAATTTTGTTTTCAACATTAGCTGCGTAGTGTTGAAAAATTATTATACTCGTAAGTTGAATAGTTCCATAAGTCGACCTGATCAAGATAATGCTATCTATGGGAAAACCTTTTGAGCAGTATATAGTCTGATCTTTAATTGTTGTAACTATACAAGTTTGCAGCCGACTTCTCAGTCAGTTTTGTCTAGAGAGAGTAGTTGTAAGTTTATAAAAAAATAATTTTCAAGAAGAGCACTGTAGCTCAGCACTTCCTAAGTTCAATTATTTCTCGAAGCGAACTATATTTTCGTTGGACGAGCACATCACAAAACAAAGCGTTGAAGCCATTTACAAGTTAACCAACTGCAAACGAACGAATGAAGGAAGGAGAGTCAAATGGGCTGAAGGACACAACGACCACAGAAACTTCAGTTATGTTGCCAGCACTGGCTGTAAATAGACTGTAAATAGAAATTGGTTAAAATCCAAAAATAACAGGTTATCATGACTTCATTTTACTCATATGCATGTTAGAAAAACGCATTCCAAAAACAAACTAGTGGTGCTACAGAGTGGCACTGACTTTCCCGTATTAGTTTTCTATTCCTTTAGTCTTGATTAGAAAATATTAATTTTATGTCACTTAATTTTTAATAGGCTTAAAGTATAAAATTCGTTCTCCATTTTTATTCATTATCTTCACAAAATTCTTCATTAAGTCTTGTTTTGTATGTAGGGGAGGTAAAATAACGTCAGTTTGATTTTTATTTTGAGGCAAAGGCGGCTCTGTGTTTCCGCTTCGAGATATTGGTTTCATTACAGAATTCACTGTAGGATACTCGAAATGATGGTTGATTTTCATCGAAAATCCTCGTACATCAGTCACTTACATTAAAATCGCTAATCGTTGTAGTGATTACTAGGTTCACGCCACAGTGTCGTTAGAGCAAATAGTATTTACTATGGACTAACAAAAGCTATCGGTGTGTTCCTCAAAAATAAGACGTGATGCAACTAAAATAATCTACTACTAGAATACTGAAACTAACAGAACATAATAATAATAATAATAATAATAATAATAATCAGTTTTTCAGGTACTAAATTCGGGTCACGCGGTCTAATTTTCAATCAAAAGGTCCTGAGCGAAAAGCTGCAGTCCTAAAGAATTTTAACACTTCATAAAATGAATGTGGGCGGTGACGTGCGTGAACATCTCGATATTTTTTTCGATACAGTTGTCAAATTAGCCCATTTGAATATTAATATCAATATTGAATTTATTTAATGACATTAATTAATATCAATTTGCGGCAGCGATGGTGTAACCGTTAGCGTATCGGACTGTTATACCCAAGTTGGCGGGTTCAAATACCCAATCAGAGCTGTGGAGAAAAAATCCTTCGGAGGGGAAGTAAAGCCGGCTGTCCAATGTTAGTAGATTTACTTGCATGTAAAAGATTCTCTAGCCTATATGACGCCCCAGAGCTAAATTCAAATCGTCTGTTTCGACGACCAAAACCTCCTTTCTTCGCTAGAGGGTGAGAAGTGCGTAGCGAAATTTGCGTGGTCAGACGGAAGAGTGGGTCTGATGGCCCGAGTCTCGTCACGTAAAATAAGGCATCAATTCAATTCAATTCAAATGAATTTCGGAGAAATTCGACTGAACGGTTTAGCCACTAGCATTGTTCACAGACTGACAGACATTTGCCGTCATTCGATTTTTCAGCAACAAGGATTCATAGAACATGAATTCTGGCTACACCACGTGATAGAAGATTCTTTTCTAAATTTAGAAACTGGAAACTCCTATTAAGTCTTTGCTAATTCTTACCCTTTCATTCATCAGTTAATAAGCGGGTGGTACCTGTAATTCAACTACCACATAAAAATGTAAAGCGTTTATCTCGAAAATTCATTTTTCGAGTTCTGCCAATATTGCAGTCCGTAAACGATTTTAATGAATCAATATTTCAGCTGGAAAACACTGTTAACATAAATCATGTCATGATGTTAAGGAAAAAACTACAGGAGGCTATCATTGTGTGACTCTAAAGCACAAGACATTAGTTCACACTGAAGATACGCAAAAAATAATTCGAGCATTCTACAAATTTTGTTAATTCCATAAGGCTTGGTTTGTATTCAGTGTTCATAGTTACCCCGCTAAAAAACGTGGTTATAACAAACAGCAAAAATTAATTTTAGTAAATTTAATAGATTAATAAAATAGTACACATGAAACACTTGGTGTTGTTCAAATACTCTAGTGTGCCGCAAACGATTTACCTCACTCGACAGCGGTGTCGCAGCAGCAGGTTTGAATTTCAGGCCCGGAAATATCTTTTAAACTCGATTTTATTCCATTATAAGTTGTTTAATTTTTTTGTTTGAAATAGGATCTGCCATTCTTCATGAATGTTAACAAATTATTTATTATTATTATTATTATTATTATTATTTTTGTAACTGGATGGTAACCTGTACGAGGCGTACTCAGCGAGCTATTGATAGATTAGTAAAAAGTAAGTCGTATTAGTCAATGCGAAAGTGAAATATTGAAATCGAATTATCAGCCATACTCTGCATTTTTATGACAACTTTTTCATATTTACGAACAAATAGTACAAGTTATACATTTCAGATAATTAAAAAATTGCATTTTAAGTTAGTAAAAATCTATCTTGAAAAAGTGTCAGAAACTCTCATATTTTAGGTACCGCATGCACGGATGAATGTTGCACATGACGGACATGCGGACATGCACATGACGAATCTATTGCGATACACGTGGATATACGCGCGACGAT